CTGCACTCCAGTCTGGGCGACAGAGTGAGACTCCAACTCAAAAATAAAAATAAAAAATAAAATAAAATAAAATAAAATGCCATATTATAGATGTGGAAGGAAAGGATGGAGGGGGGTCCTGGTGACTCGTGAATGTCTGACTCTGGCTCTGATATGGGAACAAGGGAAATGGAACAATGTTTTCAGAGGATGAAATGATAAGCTTAGTTTGGGATAGACACAATCCGTAAAGGACATTGCTGAGAAGCTGTTGGTTACATGGGACAGGGTTCAGGAGAGCTCTCATCTGGACAGAACTTGAATGGGATTCTTGACAACACAGCTGACTACTGAAATGATGTGTTTGAAACAAATGACCCCAGAAGAATGGGTATCAAAAGAAGTCAGTTAAGGAGGAAAACCCTGGAGATCAACCACTTTATAGAGTCAGAGGTGAGGCTGGGTAGCAAGGACGCAGAAAGAACATGCTTCACAAACCAGACAAGATCCAGTAAAGAAAGATGTCGTAAAATCAGGTGTCGGGCGGGGGGGACCTCCATTATAAAGAGAGAGTTGGACGAATTTTTTAACTTTCTCACATCTCCGGATGTCCCCATTCCCACATCCCTGCCACTTCAGGACTGAGAAGGATGGAGCAGCCACTGGAGTGGACGCCATCTGCACCTACCATCCTGGACCCATGGACCCAGGGCTGGACAGAGAACAGCTGCACCAAGAACTGAGTCAACTGACCCATGGTGTCACCCAGCTGGGCCCCTACACCCTAGACAGAGGCAGCCTCCATGTCGATGGTGAGTGTCTGTGCTGCAATTGGAGTCTTTTACAGTCCCAAGTCTCTCTATACCAGTAGTTCTCAACCAGGGGTGATTTTACACCCCAAGAGACATTTGACAATGTCTGGAGACATTTTCATACAGTGACTAGAGGGATGTTAATGGCATCTAGTGGGTAGAGGCCAGAGTTGTTGGTAAACTTCCTAGAATGCTAAAAAAAAGTCCATATAATAAAAATTAACTAGACCAAAATATCATTAGTTTCAAGATTTAGACATTGCTGAACACAAAATCAGTTCTGCGCAAACCTAGCATTCCCTGGGCGGGAGATAGGTGGAGCCATTCTTAATTGATTAGCACACTAATAGAAGCCAATTTCCTTTTCCGTTATGCTTCCTTGGGTAAGTATTTTCTCCTCCTTCTTATTCTCATAAAAGCCCAACTGGAATATGCAGACACTGGAGGAAGAAGGGTTGACACAGGACCATATAGCTGAGTCTCCCTAGTGGGCAGTGGGAACCCAGTTCAGCCATCCAGCCTTTCATTCTCTCCATAATGACAACTCAAGGAAACTTCTCAGTTTCCAAGTCCAGCCAAAACTGTACTGACTTCGTGAAACAACACTACCCTTAGCAAAACATCACCATCAGTAACTGTGTATACAACACCGTTAGCCATAGCAATGCTTCCACCAAGAACAACAGCTACAATAGCCACCTGTGTTTATCAAGAGGTTTCCTATGAGAACTTTATTTGTATTATATCAATCTCGCCCTAACCTCTGTGAGTTACTATACTCATGTTTACAGAGTATAGTAACTCAGCTATAAAGCAAGGCAGAATGAAGATTTTAACTGAAGACTGGAGACTCATCTAAACTCCAGTTTTCTAACCATTAGACAACAGGATAGATCATCCATATAGAGCAAGCCCCAGATCTCAGGACAGGAATGGGCATTTGTGGACTCTAACAATCTAACTATATGCTTGACTTAGTATTTCCTCTCCATTATCACTTGGAAATTTCCTACATATCTGATTTTAAATGTGTATTTCAGCCAGGGTTGATAGTTCATGCCTGTCATCCCAGCACTTTGGGAGGCCAAGGTGGGAGGATTGCCTGACCCAGAAGTTCAAGACCAGACTAGGTAACATAGCAAGGCCTCATCTAAACAAAAAACCAAAAAAACTCGCGGGGTGTGGTGGCGCATGCCTGTTGTGCCAGTTACTCAGAAACCTGAGGCAGGAGGATCACCTGAGCCCTGGAGGTCGAGCCTGCATGGAGCCATGATCATGCTATTGTATACCAGCCTGGGAGACAAAGTGAGGCTCCAATTCAAAAAAATTTAAAAAAACCACACTCGTATATTTTATTATATTTTCAACAGCACATCCTATTCTGTGTCCCTAGAAGGTTTGTTCCAGGATTAGGACTAATTAGGCTTGCAGTGTAGGTATCGTTGAGTGACAGCTCTCTCTTTGGTTCAAAACTGGACAAGCCGTGGAATCTCCTTAAGCTTTAGTGTCCCGGTCATAGAAGGGAACAAAAGTACCATATAGGATTGTTCTGATAATCAAGTAAGATGATTTAGGAATAACCCAAGTCAGTTACAGGACTTCCTGGGTCCAGTCCACTTTCATTTCTCACAGAGCATCCAAGGAGGTATAACCCACGCCCCTGTCAACACCCATGAACAATTCTGTTTTCCCCAGTTTCTTTCAGGTCTCAATTGTTCCATCATCCTTCTGATCCCCAATTCTCTCTCCCCTTTTCATCCCCCTATAACTTTTCTTTTAATTTCTCCTAATATTCACCAATTCTTATGCCCATTCCTTTATTTCTTCTCACTACACTTTTACCTCCACATACCATTCCCTCAGCCTGCAACCATTTTGTCAATTCCAAACCACGGGAAACCAAGAAACCTAGGGGGATAAAATCCTACCATCATAAAATTTTGTTAAGGATAAAAATAAATTATCCTTAGGAATGGGCAGAATACAGATAAGCTCAGAATACACAGTTATTAATAAATGTGTCTTTTTACCCTTGAAATGTGTTTGACATTTGTATTTGTTTGTTTGTTTATTTAGGCAGGGTTCACTCTGTCATCCAGACTGGAGTGCAGTGGCATAAACATAGCTCACCACAGCCTCAATTCCTTGAACTTAAGGGATCCTCCTGCTTCAGCCTCCTGAGTATCTGGGACTACCAGCATGTGTCACCACACCTGGCTAATTTTCCTATTCTTTGTAGAGATGGGGTCTTATTTTGTTATCCAGACTTGTCTCGAACTCCTGGGCTTAAGGAATCTTCCTGAAGTGCTGGAATTACAGGCTTGAGCCACCACACTCGGCCCTGTTTAACATCGATGCTGGTGCTTAGTATGTCCCCAGGAAATAGAGGCAGTTATTATTATTGTATCTTTATTTTAGTAATAGTAGTGGTAAGGATGTCTATTATTATTATCAAAGGGAAAAGAATATATAGGCATCAAATGAAATGTAACCATTGTTGTTGATTTATAAATTTCAGAAGATTTCTTGACTACTTCCATTTCTAGGTCTTCCATTTTCCCCTTTCTTCCTCTTATTCATCATAGTAATCCTTCTTTGCTCTTTCTTCCCTTCCTGCAGGTTACAACCGTCAGGACTGGATTCCTACTACCAGCAGTGAGTATTCTAAGCTGTGATACCCCAAGATCCCAGGACCCTTCCTCCAAGACTTCATTTCTCAGAAGAGAAACTGGCAATGCCCTTTCCTGACCCATCCAAGGGTCTCGGTCTAATCAAGTTAGAAGCCCAAATGCCAATTAGCAGCTCCTGAGACCTAATCACTTTTTCATATTTTTTCTCAGCTCCGATGACTTCTACATTCTCTCCAGTAGTCTCCAAATCGTCCCTCCCCAGCTCTACAGGCAGGACCAGCCCTCTGGGGCCCATGAAATGTCAACACTACATGGTGTGGTCCCTACTGATCACCCAGCCTCAGACTGTTCCACTCTCTCCCTCACTCTCTAAGCTTTGTCCGTCTCACATACTTGCCTGTTTCTAGCACCCTAATCTTTATCCAATCTTGGGAACTCTGCACTAGTGTTCCTGGAGACCAGTTATAGCTGGCACCTTCTCATCTTTCAAATCAAAATACAAGAATCACCCTCTCTAAAGCACTTGCCCCTCATACTATCTTTCAAATCAAAATACAAGAATCACCCTCTCTAAAACACTTACCCCTCATACACACCTGGCCTGCAGTTTTTTTTCCCTATGGTATCACCATAAATATTTCCTTCATGGAATTTGCCACTATGTGGTTTATTCACATCTTATGCATTTGTCATCTGGTAGTTGAGCACATCACTGGCTTTCATTACGTTATATTGATTCACTGTATGAGTCAATGCTTGAGTGTTTTCCTTACTAAGAACTTCCATCTTTATATTTATCTCAAGTGTGTTTACCTTTACCACATAAAGCATAGTTTTACCTTTACCACATAAAGCGGCTTTAAGATCTGTGCCTGGTCATTCCAACATCTGAATCACCTTGGGTTTGCATGTGTCATTGGTATTTCCTTTAAGGATTGTAAACACTTTTCCTGCCTTTGGATGTCAAGTCATTGTGGTTAGGATTCTATACATTGTGAATGCTACATTTGTGTGGAATCAGGGAAGACTTTCTCTCTCTCCCTTCCTCCCCTTCCAGCTGCAGGTGTGGGCCCAGGACTGGTGCCGTTCACCCTCAACTTCACAATCACCAACCTGCTTTATACCTCAGACATGGAGTACCCAGGCTCCTTAACCTTCAACTCTACAGAGAAGACCCTGAATGATCTGGTAAGAGCCCAACAGTGCTACCCTGGCCTGCCCTGTCCTTCCCCCACCCAGTACCCCTGACCTATCCTGATCATCTCCTTTCCTTCCTGCCAGCTCAAACCCTTGTTTAAGAACACCAGTGTCGGCTCCAGCTACTCTGGCTGCAGACTGACCTTGCTCAGGTGAGACTTCCTTCCCTCACATCATGAAGGGCTACATGGTCACAGGTAATGTCACCTGGAGTTGAGGACCTGAGCATGACACTTAGAAGACAAGGATGGTAAATGACTTTGGTCTATTACAAATTCAGATTCAGAAGTCACCCCCTCTGACTGAATGTCTCAGAGTAGTCTTCTTGAAAGAGGTGGCCATCGATGATTTCAAATTATTTGGCTATCAGAGGTACGGAGCAGTCAGGCCTATTTAAAAGGGTAGCAGTGGCCAGACTTGGTGGCTCAGTTTGTAATCCCAGCACTTTGGGAGGCTGAGGCGAGTAGATTGCCTGAGCCCGTGGATTCAAGACCAGCCTGGGCAACTTGGCGAGACCTCGTCTCTACAATAAATCAAAAATTAGTTGGGCATGGCAGCACGCACCTATAGTTCCAGCTACTTGGAAGGCTGAGGCAGAAGGATCGCCAGAGTCCAGCAGGTTGATACTGGAGTGGTTGTGAGCATGCCACTGCACTTCAGCCTGGGCAAAAAAAATAAAATAAAAGGGTAACAGTAACTAATTTACCAAGCATGGAATGAATCACCTCAGTCCATGCACTGTAACAGGTTATAAGGGCACCAAAAGGGTCAATCATGGACCCCCTTTTCACAAGGTGCCCACATGTAGAGAGAATAGGAAGCACATAAATTTAAAACCATAATATGAATGTGATTATTACAATGATAAATCTCTACAAGGGCCACAGATTCTCAGAGAAATGGCTTTTAGCTCAGCCTGGGGGAGATGGGTAAAAACTGTCTATAGAAGATGAACCAAGCTTTGACAGTTGAGTGTCTAGAAGAAACTCTGGCAAGATACTATTTCAAGGGGTGGTACACCTTAAGGAATAAGACAGATGTGAGAAGTAGCCCGGTACATGAGAAAAGTTCTCTGAAATTGGAGAGTACAATGTGGGGTAATAGCAATGGAAGGAATGAATGAATACAAAAGAAAGGAAGAAAGGGAGAGAAGAAGGGAGGGAGGAAAACAGTAAGAAAAGGAGAAGGAAAGGGAGGGGGAGGGGAGGGAAAAAGGAAAAGAGAGAATGAGGTAGGGAGGGAAGGAGGAAGTAAAGAAGGGAGGGAGGAGATAATAGGAATAAAGAAAGAAGAGACAGGAGAGACAAAGGCTGATTGACTGGAGGACCGACTGAGTGGATGGATGAGTTGATGGAAACACAGTTGCAGGACTGGTGATGAATGCAGGGTGACTGGATGTCTTCAATTGTTCAGGCTGAAGTTGGGGGTCAAGTGTCATACTGGAGAATTTTCATAGTATTTTGTACGGAAAAATGTTAAACATTAATAGTCTCTAGTGCCCAAATGCATGAGGTCTCATTCTATTTTTGTTACTGCTTCATGATTTGGGGAAAGTTTTATTTTTTTTATTTTTTTTTCATTAATCAGTAGTTTTTATTATGGTTTTGTGGGGTA